TCACACACTCTAATATTTACATAAAGACTTAGTCACGAAATGCCGTACTAGTTTTGTGTCTCACACTTACACATGTGAAAATAACATGTTATTTTCACATGTGAAAATATCAGTTTTTCGAAAAGGAGAAATAATAAGGTATTTTAAAATATTTAAATAAGGTATTTTATGGATGATTACATGATAAATAGGGATATATTCCAGCGAACAGCTATTCAAACCTTATGTTAACTGTCTTTGATCTGGGACTATGAAGTGATGACTTGTAGCTGATGACTTGAGCAGGCCAGGATCTGTGTCAGGATATAAAAAAAATTTTGAGGGGGTAGGGGTAGGGGATTGAAATTAAAGTATACCAGGGAAGTAGCAAGGGGAGCAGGGTTTGATCTCACCCAAAGAGGGTGGGTAGACCTAAAGCCTGATACTAAAGGAGGGTCCTGAAACCCCTTTCCTTGCACTCTTGCAGCTTACTTAAAGCTATATTAAGTGTATTTTTTCAACATTAAAAGTCTACCATATACAAATACTTCATCTTTTGTACGTTGTGTTTTCATGCATCAGTGATGCTGTAATAGAGGCGAGGGCTCCAAGTACTAACATCGAATATGAAGACAACAAGGGAGACATTTACCACGAAATTGAACCGAGTAGACAAACCACTGCTACTGACAACCCTCTTTATCAAAGCTCAGATGAAGACAAACATGTCTATGCAAGGTATGTATAGTGTGCTGACCATGATAGTTGAGGTATACGGGGGTCACTTTGCCAACTGGGCTATGGTGGTGTAAACGTAACTTGTGTTGCAATTATGAAAAAGCCGCGCACTCGATATCTCAGGTATTTTAAAGTCAATTTTGCATGTCGTATAGTCCTAAAAACTGTATTTTCTTTCTCCACAGTTTTGCATGATAATCAAGACCTCAAAACAAAAAAACATAGGTGGTTTCACAAATGACATAAAACAGTTAACTTTATAGGAATTGGGAGCTTAGTATTGCTTTAAATAGATAGGAATGCACTGGTGCTTTTGAGGAAGTTTACTGATTCTGACACATGAGTAAAATAATATTTCAAACGTCTGTCGAATAGGAAAAAAAACAATTGCTGATTAGCAGAGCCTCTTTATTTCCACTTGCGCGAGTAATGAGGATCACTACTACCATTATACAAGGAAAATATAGCACATTATCCGGTAGAAAAATAGGTGCAAAAATAGTTGCAACATGAAATGCATTATGGCACTTATTTTCCACTAGGATAATGTATTTTATGGCTAAAAGCGTCCCATGACAAGTAAAAATTACGTCACCGCAAAGGAAGTTTTTCTTCGATCATTTTTCCGCATTAGCATTTGGGATCGATCGCAATTTTTTATTTCTGGTCTTGAGCTTCAGTACTACATTATTATCATAGATAACAATTTAAAATATACGGATCAATGTTTTATTATGTTTTAATTGTATTGCATGATAAAGAGTCTATGAGATAACTCGGGCATGATAACAGCTAGTTCTGATAGTCAATTGATACTTCACAATTTTGGTAGATTAGATTTTTCAAACATTGAGTAGTAAATATGTACAAAATATTGATAGAAAATTGTGAATTGAGTGTTTATTCCGATAAATAATTTCAACTTAAGGCATTACTTGTTTCTTTATTGCTGGGCCGTTATCAAATCGAACATGCCATTTAGAATTAAAATCATTGATAATGATTTATTGATATAGGGAGCCCTTCCTATAACCTTCCTATGTATATATAATCAAAAACGCTGACAATCCAGAGAGGTGGTTAGTATGAGGTGTAGACACTGAGGGCATTTACTGCCAGGGTTTCTTTGCGTCCAAAGTGCATGGTTCTTTCAAGTGCCTCCGATACTAATACTTGATACTATTAATGCTAACAATCATAATAATAGGTCCACTATCATAGAGCTACCAAGCAGTTATGGCAGCTATTTAAAATGACTGAGCAGGCCTTTGCAACGTGAGAGGACTTCCTCGGTAAATAGCGTTTATGTTGTGTCAGCAAAATCGAGACTTTAAATATAATAACATTAAAACTTGCTGGCTGCGGCCATACTGAAAGGTACCCGAGCCTTTTGGTAACACCCATTCTTTTCAAAATCGATGATGCAGCTTCCAAGAAACTCAAACCAAGCAGTTATGGCAGCTATATAAAGTGAAAGAGCAGTTCTTTGAAAGGACTTCCTCGGTAAAATTTAGCGTTCATGTTGCGTCAGCAAAATCAAAATTTTAAAAATGATGACATTAAAACTTGCTAACGACTGCCATACTGAAAAGGTACCTGAGCCTTTTGTAACACCCAAGCTTTTCAAAATCGACGATGCAGCTTCCAAAAAACTCAAATTTGATCCGAAAATATCTGTGATAATGAATAGGCGTGAGTTCATTCCTCGAATTTTTTCATTGCTTTGACTTCTGCGCACTATAAGAAGTCGAGTGAGGTGGATGCACTTGCTTTCTCGATCCTTTTGTGGCGTCTTTTGTCCTTGCTTTAGGTAGTTGGTACCTTTTGCTGGAAAAGTTGGGTATGACTTTCGCGTTTTTTCTTCTCATTAGTTTCCCAACTATGAAAACCTAAAACAAATTCATAAGATGTGAGGGTTCATCGTACATTGAACAGTCCCTCTATAAAGCACCTTTCATTAAACAGGCAGTTAGTTGCACGTTCAGCGTTATTTTCTAGGTCCCCAGGGCATTTGAAGGGGGTGAAATTAGGGTCCAAAGTCTTGGCGGGAAAAACTAGGCCACGTGTGAACTCCGCCTTTCCAGTCGAAAGATGGAAATTCTTTATTCAGTGGACGCCCTTTCGTTAAAAGGACACCTAGTTGCACGGTCCCGATAATGTTTTATTTCCTATATTTTCTATCAGTTAAAAAACCTCTATCAGCCGACACCCTATGTAAACCGGACCCCAAAGGTGTGTCCCCTTCTTGGTATAACACTGTATAAATTCGTATTAAATAATACGTCCAAGACAAACAATGTCTTCGTCTTATTGACGATGGAATTAAGGATCATAGGTGAATGAAACTTAAGCTTTATTTCTAACTTATACGATTTTTATGCAACACTAAAGATTACCATCCGATGAAAATGTTTGTTCATGCATCTTCCCCTATTATTCTTTTCGCAGAGTTTGATTTCGGCGTTGTTTTCGCAATTCAAATTAAAGCACTTACTCTTTTATCGTGAACTGCTTGTGGAACAAAGTCACAAGTGTAGCCGTCTCCTATGTAACCCTCTGTACACACGCATGTGTTATCTTCGCAGTAAGCGTGCGGATCGCAGTTATAACATCCACCTGAAAAAATGAAGGTCATATTCAATTTTCTTTAAAATGGAAAATAACACATAATAGCAAACTTTAGAAAGGTACTATGTGACAAACCTCTTGGCTGTCCTAAGGAGTCTGACGGATCTGGTGCTGAAACTGTCAACAGATTCAAAATTCGTTAACTAAATCATGTGAAAGTTTAATGAATATAAAGTGGAACAGTAGGTTACGCTTATTTGTTCCCACCAAATATAATGCATACCGTGTCAATGTAGTGATGGTAATACCTTCGCTCTGAATGTTTCAAAAAGTATGCACCAAAATATCAGATTAGAGAGCGTTCAGAACCTCATTCTTTCTTTTTTTCCTTTTTCCTTTCGAGTACGGCCTGTGCTATTCAAGCTTCTCCATTTGTCAAAACCTCGATGGATACAACTTTAGGTGCTGGCACCTCCTTGATTATATTGGCATTACCAATGCCAAGCACCTTGCATGTACTAAACATAAGATGTAGTTGTCTCAAAATGATAACTTGTAAGACCTACTTACTTTCACAGCTAAGGCCTTGCCAGCCAGATATACAATTACAGTGATATGACCCAAGCGCTTCGGTACATGTTCCTCCATTTTGACAAGGATTTATAGGAAGACATTTGGCTTCAACTTTGTGGAAGAATAAAAAATACATGCAAATGTTAAGTTAGGTGGGAAGAATAAATTTACTAGACAACTACGTTAGAATACAGTGCTGCTAGCTGCTGGTTTCCAATGTAGTCCATGTAATTTTTTCATGTAACTGTACTAGTATACTTACTTCCACAGTCCTTTCCTATCCATCCAATGCGACAGTCACAGGTATAGGAGGAACCAACTTGGGCACAAGTTCCACCATTTTTACAAGGCGAAGGAGAGCAGGGATCGGTTACTGAGAGAAGAATGAAAAATAATTTTGCAAGACCTTTCATTTATTTTTAGGAAAAAATGATAGTAATTAATTGTAAGCAGCGTTATGAATGCAGGTCTGGTCAGGTTTTGAAACTATTCTTTGCCTTTTTGCAGTTGGATTCAAAAATTTTAATTGAATACAGATGTTGCGTACTCTAGAATCAAAAGTATAGTCAGCCAAATGGGAGACAAAAACCTTTACTGACTTTTGTAGGATAATACTTTGAGTGATCCAAGAAAAACAGAGACACTGTTAACAATGGGACACAAGAGACACTATCAACAATGGGAGCCCTGAGACATGGATGTACCCAATCTTATTTCAGGCCAATTTTGATCAGTAACGATGATCTGCTTAGATCTAGACTATAGTTTACTGGACCATATGTATGTTCCATTCGCTTTTGAATGTAGTCTTCAAACACTTACTGTCACAGTTTGTGCCCTTGTATCCTGGTTGACAAGTGCATTCATATTCTTTCTCCACTTCTGTGCACGTGCCTAAATTCCTGCATGGATTTGGATGACATTTGCTTTGCTCTGTGAACAAGACTTTGTCAGTATCACTAAAAATAATGCAAAAAACTTACAACGTATTGCAGAGTATTTTGGTACCATTCGGTCCTTTGCAAATCAATATTTTAACTATTTCTAATCAAACGTTTTCACCTATAAAGTGAGAATATACCTTTTCCATCTGTAAATTATGACATACCTTCGCAGTGAAGACCTTTGAAACCGTCTTGACAGTGGCATCTATAAGAGTCCTCAAAAGCCGTACAGGTTCCACCATTTATACAAGGATTGATATTACAGTGACCATTTTGTGTTACTGGTGAAAAATGCGATCAAATTCAGTATGAGTGAAAATTTGGTATATAATTCATATATTGGTTTCACTTGACGTGATTTCATGAGCATGTCTCGTACGGAACCTGTTCAATTAGCGGAATCGCAAGCGATAATTTTTGGATTCGTGTTTGACCATCCCTCATGCATGTGGAGCAGATAAACAGACTCAAATACTTTTAACAATTACTTAGTAAAATCTGGACAATAAAAGACTGAAACGAAATTACAGTCGTTCTTACCAATATAATGTTGATGGTGATKATGAACTTCATGTGTTGGTCCTGGCTGAGGAATTATGACTGGGTAAGGAACACGCTGCACAAAGACTTCTGGCTCTGATGGCACCGGAATGGGAACCTTTTCGGGTGGTGATTGGATACGAACAGGGTACGGAACTCGTCGAATCTCAGGAGGCTGTCGGATATAAATAGGATACGGTACATGGTGAACTTGGCCAGGTTGTGGTACGCCAACAGGGTAGAAAAACCTTTGTATAACAGGTGGCTGTTTGACAGGAACTCTTACTGGATAAGGTACTTCTTTGATTTTTGGTGGCGATTGGACAGGAACTGCTACTGGGACTGGCACATTGTGTATTTGTGGAGGAGACTGAACTGGCACAGGAAATGGAACCCTTTGGATAATTGGTGGAGACTGTACAGGAACCATAACAGGACGCACTTCAGGCGGTCCAGGAACTGATACTGGAATACGGTGTATTTCTGGTGGTCCAGGTACCGGCACTGGAACAGGCACATGATTGACAGGAAGACCATGTATTCCAGGCATCGGTCCTGGAATAGGCATTTCTGGATAGGGTGGGACAGGCCCATCCAGCAGCATATTAAGGTTTCCTTTTAAGTGCACGACCGGTTCGCTGATATGAGTTGCAGCATGATGATGATGAATGATAGGTGGGTTTAATCCAAAATTTGGTAAAGCTGGCGAATGAAAGTGCCCGTGGCCATGGGCGATAGGAGGCCCTATAACAGGAAAAGGCAATGGCTGGTGAAAATGTGCAATCGTTCCTACATTGCCTGTATTGCCATGTTCCGTATTGCCATACGAAGGATCCATAACATGAATACTCTTGTGCATTCCTGCATGAGGCTGGTAAAAGCCATGCTCATGTATACCTATGTTATGTATAACTGGAGACACCATATGCGCCCCAAGTGGTCCATGATAGTGCATGCCCATAGTGTTCGTTGCCAAAGGCCCATTGTGGTGACCTGGTAGTGTATGTATATTGTTCCCCATTCCATTGACCATTCCGTTGTTCATAGCTTGATTCCCTTCAAACCACCCTTGCCTTTTCATGTTGGTCTCATCAATATTTTCCATTTTACCATGGGATTTCTTTGTCTCTGTCTTGGTTTCCTTAGGCTTTGATGCGTTGTTATCTTTGTCGTTTCCAATTACCCCGGAAGTAGTTGCAAGGAGCGTAGCCAGTGAATTGGACGATGTCCTATCTTGCTTTTTGGTCGGGTGGTGCTGACCACTTTTCTGTGCACCATACTTATCTAGAACATCTAGAGCTTTATTAAGAAAGTTGCCAGCCCTGTTGCTGTTGGTAGTACTGATGCATTCTGAGCCACGACATTTGGTGACCCATCCTGTGGGACTAAATCTACCTGCGATTAATTGTTCTTCATTGTTGGAATCTTCCTTGGTCAATTTAATGCCTTTATAAGATGATCCCGATTTAGAATCTTGATGCGGATGCTTGAAAAACACATCTTTTACGTCTTGTGGTTCTAAGTCTTTTTGAATTCCATGATGTTCGTTCGTCTTTGCGCAAACCAAATGAACACACACGAATAACACGTAGATCCTCATATGGCTTATTCATTTAAAACCAAGAGTTAAAATTCCACATCTTCAACACATGACGAATTTGAGGCATCAATCAAGCTAGAGCATTCACTTCTAAATCAAAAAGCCATCCAATCTTGGTAACCAAAAAGACTAGAAGACTGTTTCAAAAATGCTCTTTCCAAAAAATACAACGGCTTTCGTATTATTATCTCATCTTTTGTCTATAATATTAATGTGACCTTTTTGCTGCGGTTCTTGACTGTAAGGTCTCTTCGTCTCTTGATTTCTTAATTTAAATCATAAATTTACTAAACTAATTGGGTCTATTTTCTTGCGCAAATTTTCTTTAGCATCAAAAAAGTTATATTATATGTAGGCTACTTTTGAGCTTGCTCTTTTTTTCTTAAAGTGTCTGTCGCTTTTGAGATGGTCAACAAACTTCTGGTTTGTCATTGACCTTATGATTTGACCCATTCAACCATATTTTGATAATCGTCATTTCTAAATATTTGTTAGCTGATTAGTACAGTGCCAAGAAGTTAATTTTAATTTTATACTTTTTCCAGATTGAATCGCAAATACTAGAAGGTATTTTTTAATGTGAAGGCACATAATGAGGTTTGAGTGCTCCATAATTTATATTAATTTTTCAAGTTTAATTACCAATAAAAAAAGATTAAGAAATTTCGGTTTGTTTCAAAGTAAATTTATGGCTTGAAGTCGATCATTATTTTTCTATTTAATAAGAAAATTTAGACCTACAACCCAAAAAGCCAAAACAATAGAAAACTTGTTTCGTTTGGCAAGTACTGTCATTAATTTTTTAACAGTGAGCAAAGAATTGTGACCTTTTTTCAGGTGGTTTGCTCTATTATTTTTGGAAGTTGAATCTAATTTCGAAATACAGACAATTATGTTTACCAGTTAAAGCGGGAATAAGAACATTAAAAACAAAAACAATTAGAGAAGAGATGATCTTTTTTCAAAACATAGGATAGTATGAATTTTAAGGCAGGATCCTTGATATTTGTAGTGGCTGTTCTTGTCACAGGAATTGCAACAGCAAATCAATCTACCTCAAAAAACATTAAAGGGAATAAACAGGAATCCTCAGCAATAATTCCAACAATTGACGGTAAAAAAGTAGGACTTCTACATGATTCAAAAAAGTCTGCAGTAAAATCCTTTCAATGGAGCAATTTACCTCACAAAACAGGAAAAACATTTGCTGTCAAGAATCAGAATTTACCATCCCAGAAATCTGGCCAAGGGTTACTTGTACGGCGTCAGTTTATTCCAAATTTAGTAAGAAAGTATCAGTTTCTGCAGCAACAATATTTGAACCAGCCTAATGATGACCGACAATCTCAAGCATTCTACTCTAATGAAGAAACAGGCAGTGAAAGTAAGTAGTCTGTATTTCGATGCCATTCCAATCGATCTATTTTCATTCGTTTTCCCCAATTGTATTTAGCTTCTGTGGATAAATTAATACATACATTATGGTAATATGATATAAAAATAATATTTATAATAATAATATAAAATGGCCAAAGCTTTCCCCCATTTTTTGAGATTGCACTAACTGGTTACAGAAAAGACACTTTAATTGGTCACTTTAATTGGACACTTTAATTGGTCACAACATCTCTTAATATTTTACTTACGGTATCTCGGATATAGGGCCCTTGTCAACCAATAAACCGTGAATGTTAAGTTTACAAGGGAGATATGCTTTTATTGATTTAACGAACTGAAACACATTGGTTTAAAACCTGCTTCATTTATCAACTCTGCAAAAGCAGCACTTCAGTTTATTTATGGAAGCAAAGTATATATATGGTCCCGACTTTACAAAATGGCGGCTGAAAAATAGCTAAACTTAGTTAAATATGAGTATGTCAATTGTTTGTTTCCAGGATCAGGTCCTTGTTCAGCACAGCCGTGCCATAATGACGGTGCTTGCATGCGCAAGAAACGTGGTTTTTATTGCAGCTGTGCACCAGGATACATTGGTACCCACTGTGAAAGTAAGTACAATTTTTTGATCGGACATTATGTTAGATTTCCTGGGGAATCAAAGATCTGGAAAAGAGGCGGTACACTGCAGGGAACTTCAAACACCTTTAGCACGACGTTCTTGCTAGGTACTGCAAACCTCAAACGGCAGTTGGACGTCAGGCGTTTACCGTCAAACTTTCGACATTTAACAAGGCGTGATAACGAAGTTGCTGGAAGAGCCACCATATTGAGTTTCCTTAATGCCGAACGTTTCTCTGGTGTTTTTCGGGGCCTGATTCCTAGGCTTTACTTATAATTACTTACCATTTAGCTATCATTAGAGAAAACGACACAGAACCCAGTAACCCGTGGATGCACAACAAGAATTAAAAAGAAAAAAACAACAAATATTTATTTAATACTTTTGTTTGCAGCCAGGAAAGAGTGTGATCCAGATACCTGTAAGAATGGAGGTACCTGTACCGAAGAGTCTATGGGTAGACATCTTTGCACATGTGCAGTAGGCTTTCGTGGAGAGAACTGTGAAGGTACTATGACCTAGCTCAAAATATTTATAGTTCGGCGCAATTACCACTACCTGCAAAACTCGAAAAATTCTGAAATCTTTTACCTTTAGTATTTAAAAATAAACTATTAAACAAGCATTTCTGTATTTTAGAATATACTAAATATTTTACTTTAGTTTAATTCAGTTTTATTACTTTTCGGCCTCAGTTTCGGAGGTTAAACTGTTGAACTTATATTTGATTTTGTTGTTGTGTTGCTGCAGCGGTTAGCAAATGTCACCCAAACCCCTGTCGTAATGGTGGCGAATGTAGTGAAACTGAAGAGTCATACAACTGTCTTTGTAAAGAAGGTTACAAGGGAAAGAATTGCGAAGGTAAGGACAGACAGACGGGAAAACGTAGAGACAAAAATAGACAGGCCGATGTGGTAACGACGCGACCATTTTGCCATCTAAATAACATTTCGGCCAACGGCATTATAGGAACTGGCCAAAGCGGCTTTACAAAGAGACACACAGAAAGACAGATAGACAGACAGACAGCGAGATAAACTGAGTGATATAGCAATACATATTGATACTTTCTCATCTTTTTTTCGTTGGCTTTCATGTAATATCATAGATATAAACCAATGTGATCCAAATCCATGTAAGAACGCTGGCACTTGTTTTGAACAAGATGGCGATTTTTATTGCAACTGTCCATCGATGTATCGAGGGAAAACATGCGAAGGTAAGACATTCTGTCAAACTTCGGTTGGTAACGTTCAACAGTTTTAGCATCCGTGAATCCTCTTTTAAGGTTGAGTATTTCTTTCAATAGTTCTCTTTACCTTCGTTGATTGTTGTCCCATTTCAGACCATGTGATGCCACTCTTTGGGAGTTGATTCTCTCATGTGTAAATATTTGAACATGTTTCTCATCAAAAAAAAAACATTCTCAAGGGAATGTCATGTGATCTGAAAGGGGCAATTTGCATATGTAATTAAAAAGGACTATTGTCTTTAATGGGTAGCCATTTTGCATAGATTAATAGTCATGGTATTACCTTTGCAGTAACGGTCTGTTTGCTTGGTATGGCTCAGTTCTTACATATATGATATATTTTGTACAGTTATAAGTGAGTGTTCAACAGCAAGGTGTATCAATGGTGGAACGTGCCGTGACTCCAATACTGGTTTTGGTTGTAAATGTCCTTACGGTTTTTATGGCAAGCGATGCGAAGGTACGTAATAAAAATATAATCTTTGAAAAACGTTCACAGTAATTGAAGTTCACTGATACAGATACTATGCATCTCTTTATTTTAAGTGTCTAGTTGTTCTAGCGCTTTTGCACTAATTGGAGACACTTTTCACTCACACACACTACCACTATATTCAATTTTCTATGCACACAACGCTCAACTCACATATTGATTTATACTATTGTTTTGTGTTCTCAGTTACTGCATGTCAACCAAATCCTTGTCTTAATGGAGGCGTATGCTCCTTGTTTGGTAACCAGCACATATGTAGGTGTAGCCATGGTTACTCAGGCAAACACTGTGAAGGTAGGAGAATCGTTAACAGGAAACTGCTCATCGAACAGGTATGGAGCGCATGACTGTATTTAGCATGCTGCCATCCTGCATGAGTATCCCGCTGCATGAGTATAAACCTGCAGTGTCTGCATGAAACATCGATCTACGTCAGTCACAATCATAAAATCTATTGATAATAAAGGGCGGTGAAGTAGCAGTGCACTCGCCTCTCACTTTTAGGGTATCAAAACTTGAGAGTTTTTGCGAAAGCAATACACTGATCCCACGCGCCTTTGTCTAACCCAAAATAAGATGAAAAAAAAGAAGGGGTTTTGATGGTTGAAAAAGTAAACGCCCAGTAATTAATTCGTACGCTAAAATAGTGAAGGGAAGGTTATTTTTATGTAATGCTATATTTATACTGATAATTGGATTCAATATTAATGATGCTTTTTTCAACTAACAGTTCACAGCCCATGCACACAAAGCATTTGTCTGAACGGTGGAACGTGTGTGGACAGCATGTACACAAACAGTAAATACGGATTCGCCTGCGTTTGCCCCACCCATTTCGATGGCATCTTGTGCGAGAAAAGACTTCCGGCAAATATTAATCAAGACGATGAAGACAATTCTCCTAATTAGCATAGCAGAAGAGAAGGGCAGTTCCATACAGATAAAACAGCTACTGACCTTTTCCGGAGACTCATAACGACGAAAGAATTGAGCAAAGAATTTTGGGAGTGATCAAGACTTCCGATCCACCTTTTTTCTTCCAAAGATGAAATTCCGCTCCATATGCAAACCATTGCCCACACAGTGGCAAAGAGTATTTTTCTGAACTATGGATCATGGAACGGGCAAGCAAATTGCTGATTGAAAATTTCTTATTAGTCATGCATATTTTCGTGCTTTTTTGTTGGTTCCAACCGACCATTTGGGATTTCGAAACTGGACAGGTCTATGATGAACCCTAACTGTAATGCGTTTTAAGTTGTAAGTTCCTTGTACAAAACATTTAGGATCAATAAAACGTTAAAAACGATTTGCAGAAGCCGCTCAGCTGGATGTTTCTTGGCGTACTTCTTCCATCATGATACAGTTTCCTTCAATCTCCATTGACTTCTTATTTGAGACTTAACTTGAGCACACAATGCCTACATTGTACCTTATATCTTGGGCCCACAGCAACAATTACAGTTCCAGCCTTCCTCACAGATGCAAAAATTTAAAGCAAAAATAATTCAAAAAATTACTAAATAAAAACGTTTCTCACGTAGAGCCTTGTGTGCTATAAGAAATGGTAATTACTTAGAGGTGTAGTTGTTGAGCTTGAGTTTCATATAGTTGAATGTAATTAGTTGACGGTTTTGTGAATTTCGGAGCCAACTTGAAGCACCCCACATGGAGTCACCTTTGTTAAACAGCGAACTTCGATTTTTGTCTACCAAAAGTGAAATGTAGTGAGGAAATCAGAAAAACTTTTTTTGCGAATATTGAGCTGAGCTTCTACGAAACGCGACAGCTCCGCCTGCAAGAGTACCGATTAACCAAAGTTAGCAATTAATTAACTTGAAAATGTTAACGAAAATAGGAAACTGAAACTGGGTCAAATCAAATTTGCATGGTAGAAAATTTCAGATTAGGCTTCCATTGCTTTTGGGCTTGAAGTCAAATATTCGTTCGATTTGATACTTCATGAAAGCGAGGCAAATGCGTCACAAACTTGATAAATAGAACCATTTGCCTTGAGCTGATTAACCTATTTATCTGTCGTTCAAGGTAGAAAAGCTACCACTTTAATTTGCCTAGGAATCTAGCCTTAGCTGAAAACTCATACAAATATCTTAATTTTCTCTTATATAATATTGCTTTTTCCTACCGCAATATATAAAGTCATATATATAGCGTGAAACACTTTCATACAAAGTCTATGCAGTCATCTTTTCTACTGAGTATTATTTACTGTTATATATAAATAGCTTTTCTTTCGTTGTCGTGTCTGTCAAAATGAAGGCCACACTTACAATAAAACACTTGGTTTTCTTTTCTTCTTYTTTTTTTTTTTTTTGAGAGAGAATTAATAATTCTGGTGTCACCGCTGACCGGCCGTCACGGGTGTCGAGTGTGTGCCCTTTACAGGTTGTCATATACTAATCAATCTAGTGCATCTTTATCTCATTCAATCAGAATCTAATGTTTACAGGTCGAGGTTAAGCCATGATTCTACCTGTCTTTGTTAAATGACCTCTTCTGAGCTCCTCCTTCAAAGATGGATTTTTATAAATGTGACATGGACTTTTTTTTCAAAATGGTGATTATATGTTTGTGTTTAAAACGATGATATGAAAGGATAATAGCCTTAATTCTCAATTGACTGGCTTAATGGGTCGTGTTTTGACTCTGTGCCTTATTTTGGCTACAGTGTCATGTTCAAGTTCGACTAATTTAGCCAAATTATCTTCGACAATTCACAAAATTGGTGATGTTCTTAAAAGACTGAAAAACGAACCAACAACAACAAAAGATGGCCATGTTTTGAAGAAACCAATTGGTGCAACCTTGGATGACACACTGGAAGGTTCTGGTAATATTCCTGGAAAATTAACCAAAGAAGAGAGGAATGTTAATAATAAGATTAAAAACAAATTCTCTGGAAACAAGAAACTACAATCTAGACATAAGAAGGACCATGGAATACCACAAGCAATGAAGCCTTTACAAGTGGTAGCAACTTCAGCTGTCATTAGAAATCGCTTAAATAAACAGCCTCGAGTTTCCCCAAAACCTGTCAAAGCCATACACGTTTGGGGGCAGACACCTTTCAATACCGTCGTCAGTAATATTATGAAAATGAATGAAAGATTGAGAGAGGAACAGCAACAGAAAAGACTTATTCAACAATTTCAGGACAATCGTTTGCAGGAATTTAGTCCTGTTCAAACCCCAGAAATTAAGACACCTCAGCTTCCGATTTCTGACTTTCAATTGCCAATGAAAGAGCCAACCTTACAAGGAAAACTACCACAAGTCATCCAAATAAATGAACATGAAGGAGATTCAAAGAATGTTGAAACTCCAGTCGACGAGGGTGCTGATGCACGTGGTGTTTTACAGAGACCTATAATTCTCGGGGATCAAATAAATCACGAAGCTCCTCAAACATTAGCACAACCTAATGAGCCACAAGAAGATTTCTATAATCACTATGTTCAGCAGTACAACCCTCATGAAAGGGAAGAGCAAGAACAGGCCCAAGAACGGGCACAAGAACAAGTGCCAGAAATCCAAGAACAGGAACCATTGCGAAATCATTACAGAAGACACCATTTTCATCATCATTCCACCGGTATGTAAAATGTTTTTCAAAAGCTTACCCTTACTTTTAATGCAACGATCTAACTGTTAAGCTGAAGTACTGATATTATCGATCTTTATGATTCAGAGCTTTTTATCTTAAGATTTCACTTTTATTATATTTAAGCATGCATTTACCAGCATTTTTTGAAATTGGCGATTATCTATTTGGCTAATAAAAAGTAAAACTATATGCTAGAAGTTGCATACTTTTAATTGACAAAAAATGGCATAATTTATTGGCTTATTGAAATGACTAGACACTAGACAGAGGCACTGAGCGTTAGACTTTTCCATTGGTTTACAGTTTTGGTAGAGACCATTTGCACATTACTTTGAGACAATGTAAACTGTCAGTCCAACTTAAAATCTGTCAATTCAAGACGCAATTGGGAAGCTGTCACTGCAATTTCTTGTGTATTTAGTTTAAAGACAATCACGCCTTGACATATCGACAATGACACTTGTAGAAGTGATGGTATTTGCGAATGCGCCAGATCATATTTACAACATATAAATGACAGCCAGAAATGAGCACGATCTAAAAAAATTGTCAAGGTTTTTTGAGCTGGAAAAGTATTTCATAATACAATAGACTAGAAAACTTTCTTGATATTGTAAATCAAATCCGCCCTTTGCACCGAATGGATATTGAATTTCAGTAAGGTTCCTAATCTGGACACTTCCACACCTGAATTTTAATCTTTTTTTTCTTTTTTTTTACCAAAAACGAAATTTTATAGGTCAAACTAGGTAAGCCCAAAGAATTGACTTACAACAAATGGTTTGTTTTTCACCCCTGTTAATAGAGCCAGAAAATTCTTTAATTGTTATATTGTGTTGATTACTAACCCGGATTTTCCTCGCAGTGAAAACCAAACCCAAATGTGATCCCAATCCCTGCTTGAATGACGGGGTTTGTACAGCTTTTCTACATGACTATGAGTGCACTTGTCCAATAGGATTCATGGGTAGACATTGTGAAGGTAAGCAAACACTTCAGTTTAAAATATAGAGGTACTGACATCAGTAACACATGCTAGCACCCATGTTGGAGGGCAGAATAAAATAATATTAAATGGGAAAAGATAATGGTTCAGTAAAAAAGGTCGGTATGATTTCGGGTTTTTTTCCGGGAAACTTCTAGTGTTTGAAAATATGATTATAAATCAATAGCATAGGTACATATATAGTAACAGGTAAATGGCGTACAAAATGCAACGCTAATAAACGTTTTGTAATTATCGTAGATATCAATCAGTGTCTACCCAATCCTTGCAAGAACAATGGTAACTGCTATCCAACAAAGACAGGGTTCCAGTGTACCTGTGTTCATGGCTACAAGGGTGAAAACTGTGAAGGTAATTCTTTCAAATTTATTATTGGAAAGGCGAAAACGGATGATAAAGTAGTTGAAAACTTGTCTTTATCCTAAGAGGACTGCACCTCTTCCCCCTTCCCCGGGGCCTGATACTCAGATTACAGTAACTTGTCCTCATCCTACGAAGGCAGCACTAACAGTAACCTGCCCTCTTCCCCCTTCCCGGGGCTTGATAGTCAGGTTACAGTGGCCAGTAGAAATGAAAAGCGGAGAACCCGGAGAAAAACCTCGTAAGATAGGAGAAAACCAGCAAGCAACTCTACGCATAAATAATGGCGAGTTCAGGAGCAAAGCGGTGAGATGCAGCTTGTCGTGATTCCTACGGCTTTGTGCTTTTTAACATCCAAGGAAATAAACGACAAGAAAGGTGCATGTTATTGGCCGAAGATCACGGCTAAACAAACTTCATAAATTACTCAGCAAGTTAATTTTTTCCCCCTAAATCAAGCCATCAGCAAGTGTATACCTAATCCTTGTAAGAACAATGGTGTATGCCAGGAACCAATAAGATCCAGTCAAGACTATCTGTGTATATGTAGCCCTGGTTACAAAGGAAGCAACTGTCAAGGTAAGCTCGCTAATTGGACGGCATTATATCATAACGTGCTCTAGACATTATAAATTTATTTCCCATCAATAACAAACTCAAACTTCAATTTTATCGACACTCTGAAACAGCATGGGCTGACCTAAGTTAGGGCACGGCTAACTCACAGATCAAACCCTGAAACAACCTCTGGGCTGATTAAAGTCAGGTAACGGCTAACTCACAGATCGAACCCTGAAACAACCTCTGTACTGATCAAAGTCAGTGCACAGTTAACTCACAGATCGAACCCTGAAACAAACTCTGGGCTGATCTAAGTTAGGGCACGGCTAACTCATAGATCAAATCCTGAAACAACCTCGGAGGTGATTAAAGTCAGGGTACAGCTAACTCACAGATCAAACCCTGAAACAAACTCTGGGCTGATCTAAGTCAGAGCACGACTAACTTGCAAATGTAGATAGCTTTTAACTGGTTGGCCCTGCTGCGGGATTTAGCCGGGAAATAGCTAATTTTTCTTCATGGCATGTGACACTGGATATTCCAGGATTTAAACCTTGCCCCAGAGGCGAGACGCGATTGCACTACCACTACACCGCCCCTTATACTCTAAAAGTTAGGTAGCTGAGTATGTTAATATATACAGCATTGATGTAATGCTCTCTTTCATCTTAGAGAAGGATTACTGCGGCACTCACAACCCATGTAGAAATGGTGGATCATGTATTAACGGCGAGTCTTCTCGTCTCTGTCGCTGTCGCGATGGATACACGGGACCAGATTGTGGAGGTAGGACTACTTGTCCTTTCACTAGGCGAATAAAATAACTTAGATGCAATGACGTTGTTGTTGCTTAGTTGTTATTAAAACATTCACTTTAGTCTGTTTTTGTCTAATATTCATATTGTATCTGATCGAAAATAGTCCTGTTTTCAAAAATGTAATGAAATCTAAGTATTATGACTTACTTCCATCTTCTTTGTTTACGCTACACGGTTTCAACTCAACAATGTAATGCATTTACACATTTTTATTCAATAAGCTTAGTTTGTGGGACTCAAATACTCAAAATCACTTTAGATATAAATAACTATAAAAAAACCCGCTATGTTGGTTGATCTAACGAGAGAAGCTAAAAGAGGAATGCTTTGTTATCGTCAACCAACATGGCGGCTATGACGAAACATGCAACTCAATAATTTATCATTATGTTATTTCTAAAAGCTGCCTACATTGACTACTACATTGTATCATTGATATGAACCAGAGTCATATATCAAAAGTCAATTATACCTTTCATTCATAGACATTGATGTTTGTCATTCAAGTCCTTGTTCTAATGGAGGAACATGCATCTCGAGTGGAGCAGGGATGTTCAAGTGCCAGTGTTCATACATGTACAGCGGTTATACATGTGAAGGTAACAATGCAATGTTATCTTAAAATAAATTTATTTCCTCATATTATATATTATTATGTGTTGTATATATTTGTTTTCGACGCACGAAAACCAAGAGCATAGAACACGCAAGGTCACCATGTCATCCAGCGTCGAGCCGACAGTAATGGCAAGCCTCTGGCTCAGGGGACGGATTTTTACAAAGTAATCCCTCCCTGCTTGATTGATGCAACGTCAACTGTATTTTACAGTGATGCTTCTAAAAGGCCGACCCCTTATTAAGCGGACACCCTTTATTGAACGGACAGCTAATTGCATGGTCCCAAAATTGTCTTCCCATATTTATTTACCTCCATTTATTGGACGCCCATCATCAGTAAAGGGACAGCTAGTTGCATGACCTAAACATTACTGTAAAACAAACCCCTATTCAGTGGACACCCTTTTTTAAGCAGACATCAGACAAGGTCCCAAAGCTAGGTTCCGCTTAATGTACCAATTTTTTTTCATTTTTACTTACATTTAGTGAAAGGAACAGGTATGTCTATTCCATATCTATATTCAATAACTAAGTTACTTCCATTTTGTCTTTCAGAAAAGAGTTCTCGATGTGCCGCACTTCCTTGTCAGAATGGAGGAACCTGTATTGAATTAGACAACAACAATGGTGGCTTCCGCTGTGAATGTTCTTCGCATTACAGTGGGGTGTTGTGCCAAAGTAAGTCATTTATGAATGACATTTCCATTTCGCTTCCTTTTAAACAAAAAAATAATTAAAAATCCTCATTCCCATTTTCATAACCTCGTGACCAATATAGCCCCCATCGAGACGTAATTTACAAAATGTAAATTCATTTTATGTCGATTTGCAGGGAGTAATTACTTAGTCTTCCGACCCAAAGGCTAATAGTAGAATTTTACAAAGAGTGGAAAACACCCTAAGAAAACCCACCGAAGCATAGAAAAGAATCATCTAATAAGAAACTCTTCTCAAGATCGGGATTTGAACCCCGATCGTATTGATGAGAGGCTGCGCATTAGACGTGTGTTGGTCTCGTGATTATGTGCATTGAAAGCTCATTGTTTTCTTCATGAGTAAATATCAACGCAATATATTTCAATTTTTGTCTCAGATACCCGAAATCCCTGCGAACAAAATCCTTGTGGACACAATGGAAGGTGTCTGGCGTCAGGTGACTCCTATGTCTGCGTCTGCGAACCAGGATTCAGCGGTACAACCTGTGAAGGTAGGCGGCAAAATATTTCATGTAAAGGTTATCATAACTACTTTGATGATCAATTTACTTTATACCTAAATTTTAACTTAATTAAAATGATAACTTTTGGACCTTAAAGTCTTGTGCAAATACATTGCAAAAAGGTTGCACCATACTTTTTCTTTTTTTTTTCCTGCGATGTAGTTCATCTTACCACCATGTGTCAGGGCTGTGACATGAATGCTAAGTGTATCGCTGGCAAGTGCGTATGTTTGCCTGGCTTCAATGGCAACGGCAATGTATGTGAAGGTATTTGACCAATCACTTCATTTCTTAGCTTCAGTTAGCATTTAGTAAAAAAACATCTTTGTATTGTTTATTTCTCTGATATTGAAGTCTAAGATTATACTAAAACAATTATTCACGAAATATTATTCAGTTTTAATTTGTTGGGTTCCTCGTATATTTGTTCAATAGTCAGAAGACCAATACACCACGTGCCTTTCTCTTGAAAATAAGATTTTCTGTTTGAGTCGTATCCATATCCATGTGTCTTCACATGCGCATCCGTTAAACAATAAAAAGGAAGCTCTAGAAAATGACACGTGGTCTAATATGGAAAAGCATTTTAATGTTAAATTTAAATTTAAATCTGAAATTACATCCAAGCTGAAAAGGTTTATTACATGATGGACGTGATAAAGTAATATTAACCTGAAGAATAATATTAATTCTTGCATAATTCAAAATGCTTTTTTTTTGTTGTTCTTAATGCATGCCATCATTTCTATAATCAGTTCTATACTCGCATGGATCCAACGAAACTCAGCATGAGTCGGGTAAGCAACCATTAACAACATTAACATTGAAGTAAAATATGAAAAATTAGAAAATATTCTCGCTATTTCAGTATGATATCGTTTAGAACTCTTAGAAAAAATGCGTTCCCATAAGGTTTAAAATCATTTGGTGGGTTAGACATTTATATTACAAGGGGTCTATAACGAATACATGCCGCTCCTTTAATTATATGCTCAAAATACATAAAAACCTTCACTCCGATGAAGGATTAACGTCCGAAACGTCAGTTTCATTTTTACATACCATACGGTGTTACAAATTATCTATCTATCAACTGTTTTACTGAAAACACCGACGCAGTTTACACTAGTTTTCACTAGTTTTCCACATAAAAACCTAGTTTATTATCAATCCATTGGAAACGTGTTTCAAACAATAGTAATTGTCATTTACCTTCTCCAGTCCCTTCCAAGTGTCACCCAAATCCTTGCTACAATGGCGGCATCTGTAAAGAAACTGAGAAAAGTTTCACATGTGAATGTGTAGACAACTTCGTTGGACTCACGTGTCAGGGTAAGTAATGTTGGACACATTTGATTCTATCGATTATGGTCAACAATTGACCTTATTCGCTATTTCAGTATGATATTTTCCCCTACTTAGACCACGTGTCATTCTCTTGAGAATAAATATTTTGGAGCAAGTTTTTTCTAATAATGCTTCTTCTCAAGCGCTACTGGTACACACAGAAATAATACTAAAGAGAATGACGCATGATTTAAAATGGTAAAACATCATTGCACCCAAGGAAAAAAACTAATCAATGTAATCAAGATTTATTTTAACGGATAATGGACTTATCTCTTTATCAATGCCCTTTAGAATGTCAACTAAATCCTTAATACGTTTTATAAAATATTTGATTTCGTGCTACCGTGTTTATATCAGAGGACAGAGAGACGCTCGCGCAATATCGTTCAAAAATATTTGCTAAAAGCAATGTAAAACGGCTGCTTTTATCTCTGTACTGTGCCATATATAAACACGCTGGGAGCTGTAGGGTACTCAAAAAACAAAGGAAACACTCGGCTACGCCTCGTGTTCCTAAGCTTGCTTCTCTCATGCTCTATAGCTACCAGCGTGTTTACGTCATAGTACAGAGATGCGCGCGTGTTTTATATTCCTTAACCGCTGATACATTATTTGAATAAATCCATGTTTTAGAGACACTGCCTTGTAATAGTCAACCATGTCAACATGGAGGGATGTGCGTAGATGATAGGAAGTCTGGTACCTACACTTGCCAGTGTGAAAAAGGATACAAAGGAAAAAATTGTGAAGGTATATTTAACGTCATGTTAACTAAAATCAAAACTTGGCAAACCCAGTGATCATAAACACTGAATATGACTCGTGTTTATGTAACAATAACCTTTTGAACATGCGTGTTAACATAGCCTGATTTATATATCAATAGTAATATCAATCGTTCGCAGGAGAATTTTGAGAAAATCGCGAAAGGAAAATACGACGAACCGCACAAAGCGGAACTAGGAACATCATTGTCGCGTATTGAGGATAATATTATTGTGTTTTAATAGTGAATACAACAACTCAATAGTGAACGATACAACTCTCCTTATTCAACTCGAGGTTGTCGCTCAACGCGACAAGTGTTGATGTTACACACTGTCTCGAAAATGTCAAACGTACTTAACAATCTGGTTTACCTTCAGCATTGCCAAATTAAACAACTGACCTTGCCGATGAAAAATAATGAAATATGTCTCGTCCAGTAACTTCTTATTGTTCAGCTGGCTAGCCTGCTTTGAAAATAAGATTGACATAAGGTGTTTCTTTGATTTATTTAAAGAGCCAACAGCCTGCGAGCCAAATCCTTGTGAAAATGGAGCAACATGCACCCCAAGAGGAAACTCGTACGTGTGCAAATGTACCAAACGTTTTCAAGGCCCAAAATGCGAAGGTAATTTCCAATCTCACTGAGGAACGCGTCAGGTATGCCCTATCTCTTCTGATTGGCTAATCGAATACTTATCTTCTTCGGTAGAGGATAAGTGTTCTTTATGTGATGTACATGCGCACTGTGAAGATGGCAAGTGTGTTTGTGACAATGGATATTCAGGCGAAGGAACAAAGGATGAGTGTTTCAGAGATGGAGGTTGGTATATCACTATATACAATATGCCCGACTAGTGACTTGTATGGTTATTCTAACGAAATCAAAGAGAGTAATTTCACTATATTTAATTACAATTCATTTGTTACATTATCAAATCTATGAACCATCACTCCATGACACTGTCCAATACTTATAGTTACTCCATTTCTCTCTTCCTTCATTTCTCCCTTTCTTCTCTATTTTCTTCCTCTCTATATCCCTCCTTCCTCCCTTCCTCCCTCCCTCCCTCCCTCCCTCCCTCC